CGCCATTGCCGAGGGGGCGGGAAGAAGGAAGGGCGCACCGAACTTTCTCTTTAAATTGGCCAATAAGGGCGCTAGAGGGTCTCCAGGAGGAGGAGCCAGGGGGCAGGGCTTCCCAAAGGGGCGGGAGGGGCTCGGTGGGCTGTCCAATCAACGCGCGGGAGGCAGGCCCAGGCCAGGAGGAGAGGGGAGGGCTTGGGCGGAAAGGGGCGGGAGCGCGCTGAGAAGGTGACCAATGAGCGCGAGGGAGGCGGGAAAAGGAGGAAAAAGTTTCTTGGCTTTGTTGATGGGCTGTTGACAGTTCTGTCCTATTTTATTGATAGAGGAGCCCCATGGCTCCCCAGTGGGGCTTCCTTTCAGAAAAATCCCCAAAACTGCAATCTTAAAAGTGCCATTAGGCTCTGGATTTTACTGAATTATGCAGGATAAATCACTTTGAAGAGGACCCAGTCCAAAGAAAATTTAGAGGGGGGGAAAAAAGAGCTTTGAAGGCTAAGCAAGACATTAACACTTTTTTTAAAAGAGAAGCTTCTGTTCAAGTGCCAGTTTTTGAATGGGTTTTAAAAGGTGTGGTCGTCATCTGCTTTTTATGCGATTGTAGGAGATGTTGGTCTGTGGTGGCCAAAAATCAACAGGAATCTGGAAGCCCCTTTTCCAACTTACCCATTTTCTGCAGTGCACAAACACTTGTGCCTTTTCATAAAAAGGGTGAGTTGGAAAAGGGGCTTCCAGATTCTTCCTGATTTTCTGCTTTTTATGAAATCCCAACAGTTCTGTTAAAAGCCAGTATAAAATGGAATATATATTTTTTTAAAAAATGCAGGTACCCTATACAAGGTATGAGTACTTTTCATCTCTTCATTTTTTTAAACCAGAAAGGCCAAATCTTTCCCAATTCATGGATTTAACTCAGTTGCTGAGCATTCAAGCTACTTACTAACCTCGACGGGAAGCCATGTGAAACTTTTAAAGAAAATAGTAATTTGCCCATGATTTGAGTGTGCTTTTCTTATTTCCCACAACCCGGAGGGTCTTTCAAGAGGTGAATTTCAGCTCACAATTAAAATCCCTCAGTCTGAAATAATAGTTTCAAACATTTTTAAAGCATACATCCCAAAATTGTTATCTCTTGGGAAGAAGCCATTATTACACACACCAACTTTGAGGTCAGGTTTAATATTTTCAGACGTCAAATTCTTTGGAACTATATGCCTGTCACGTGGAAATTGATGGGTGGACAACGGAAATGGATGCACTGCACCCTTATTACTAGGAAATTACTCCACTGGGCAGATAAATGTATGGACCCAATTACTCAGTGGATTGAAGACCTGAAGTTCGTTGCAATTCACAAATGAGTTGCTTACAGACAGAGATTATGTATGGATGATTACACTGAAAAGTGATATTTTATTAAGACTATTGCATAAAAGTTTCTATCCATGAATGAGGAGCCCTCATAGTATTTTTGTTATTCTTTCACTTTTCTATTGTTTTATTTTTCTGCCCTGTTTAATAATATAAAGCCTCCACCCCAGAGCCGTTCCAAGCGCTGTAAAGGAAGCTATGAGAACCTATTCTCTTCTTATGCCCAAACCCTGTTAATTTCCACTTAATATTGAGTATTCAAATATAGGATAAAAATACTCAAATATTCTGTTTGAATATTCAGCATAAGCATGCCGCTTAGTAAAATAGGATGACTATTTGGCTAACAAACAAAAGCAGTTTCTGCTTTCATTCATAATATGGCTTGCTAGATACCTGTGTCTTTTCCTGTCATGTTCATGGTGTTTTTTTAAAACATGGTCTCAATAATAACAGGAAACTATAAATACTACTAAAATATCATTTTCAGATATTCATTTAGAGAGTACACCTTAGTGGTTTGACAAGTAATATACAGTTAGCAGATAAGATAAGATATGATATGATATAAAGGAATATGTATCACCTGGTTCAGAAAGAATTTTGATTTATGGGTTAATTCAGAGAATCCCCAGCCTTTTTACATAGACCATAGGTTTGCTCATGTTTCATTTAACTTAAATATTGTTTTGTAAGAAAACATCTGAGCTTGTAAACTGAATTGTGTGATATTTCTTGGAGAAGCAATTTTATTGCCAAGCAATTTTTCTCGTAGAAAGCAGATCCACTTTCATCCCAGCAAAACAGGGGTATCAAATTAAAATGCCAAGTTTCATCTCAGAGCCACACAAGATAAGTAATACTTCTAAACACTGCGCTTGGGGTCTTCTGTACAACTGTGCAGTTTACAGGATATGTATAAGATGTTCTTATTTATCATGGAAGCAGGGTTGCTACAGTATAGTTTGATGTTTTTTAAAGCACTGTAAATTTTAATCCCCCCAGATTTTGATATGTTCTTAGCTTCCAAAGTGTGTGTGTGTAGGGCGTGGATGGAAGGGTAGGTAATTTCAGTGAAAGAAATTCACATTCCTTTACAATGGGAACAAGATTTTGGGGGGGTGTACACTGTGTTCACTTTAAAGGACAAACTCATACATTATTTATTCTATTTACATTCCGCCCTTCTGTCCAAACATCCAGTGCAGTTTATTGCTTCAAAAATGCTGAGACATGATGCAAAAGAGAAATCAGGGAGGTGAAACAAGCGTGCAGAACAGTTTTTCCTACAGCTTTATAAAAACAAGCATAACAATTTTTTAAAAGATACTCTTCCACTTTTCCCAGAATATTGCTTTATTTTTTTCTGTTTTCAAATATACAATTTGACATTACGAAGTTACAGTACAAAAAAAAAATCCCATAATATATAGTGCATAGCATGATAATGTTCCAATTGTTTAAACTCACAGGTTTGGGCTAAAGCAACTTACAGACTAAATGTAACCATAGTTTAATGCCTTAATTACTTCAACGCAATATTAAAACTGCAAATAAGGAGAAGTTTCAGGAATTGTTGGAATTTGGGCATCAATGTTATAGTATATTACTGATATTTTTACTCTCTCTTGAGAACCTCATACAAAATAACTTCATTGCTTAGTGCAATACATCACTCTTAAAAAAATAAGCAAAATACTAGGATTTGATTACATTGAAGTCTCAGAAAGCTAAATGTTCATTTAAGTATTACCAATTACTTTTAAATCTTTTCAGTCTCCAGGCAATCCCCACATGATAATATAATCTAAAACTTTGCTATGAGTTCTTAAATATCAGCATTCTCAATATATATTCCATGTACTTCCCACGCCTATCTAGAATTGCAATATTTATTTCTCCTTTCCTTCATTTTGCTTTCTACCAACGTTCTCTTTCTTTTATCTACTAACAGCTTTTTATACTCTCTCCTCTTCAGTGGCATTTCATCTGCTTGATAATTTCTTGGAACACTTTTTTTTACTATCTACTATTGATCTTGATTGTTTTTCACAGTGCTGCATTTTGTAATTAGACTGAACTACAACAGAACTTCTTGTTAAATTAAGCCTTGGATTCAACAAGCTTAGAAGCAAAATATACAATTTTTATCTGAGAGAGAGATGACTCTGCATTTTAAATTATTTTTTCTCTTTTCCCATAAAAACATACAATTCGACTTTAAAAAACCTAATCTCTCTTCATTCCTGTGGTCTCAGAAAATCTAGGACGACACTTCCCTTTTAAAGATAAATTACTTGAGGGAAGTCTTTTCAGGAAAACAAAGTAAATAAATTCCTCCTGCTGAATTTATTTCTATCTCATGGCGAAATAACAGCCACACGCTACAATCCTAGGTGTATTTACTCAGAAGCTGGTCCTACTGCTTATTTCCAGGTTAAGAACGCTTAGGTTTGCAGCCATAACACTAACATCTGTGACAACCATCTGTGTCCTCTGCAGGTGCACACGTAGTTTCCTTCTTGCTCTGTATTAAGTGGATCCAGAAAATGAATATCGCCTTTCCCATTTCTACTTGCCATGGATCAGGAGTCCTATCTTACTGTCATACTAATTATATACTAGAAGTATGAAAGTGCTTCATAGCTAACGGCTCCAGCAAAATGAGCCTTGAGGAGTGATTCAGCAAAGGAGCTGTCAGGGAAAAAAAAAACCCTTTGGGGTGGGTAAGTTTCAGAGATGTAATTCACAGTTACTCTCACGTCACCGTAAACATACCAAATACGTTTACTGTGATTCGCATGCAGAACTCATCACCTGGGCTTTGGGGCGTAGAAGTTCCTTGGGACTCATTCTGCTTCTGCAAACAGATGCGTCTTCCCCAACCCATTGGCTCCCAGAGACCCCTGTCCTGTTAGCTAGCAGGGAATTCTGGGAATTGCTATCCTGCCATATCTGGAAGGCATCAAATTGGAGAAGACTGCAACCGAGCATAAGGAGAAAGGGAAATACGGGAGTTGTGCTAGATGGAGCAGCAATTCTGCCAACTTATAAATAATCAATTTGAAAATAAGAAATTGCATCTCTGAGTTTTTGGGTTTTTTTAATAAACTGTTTAGCCATTCTGGGTTATGCATTGCAACATTCCTCATTTGTCTATGATCTGCCTTGTTCCTAGGAAATCAGAACTTTTAGAGATTTGGATCAGAAATCTCTACACTTAACATATTCCTTCTACCACATTCTGACACCATCTCCCTTTCTCAGATCAGCAACTCATTGACATGGAAGGAAAAATAATTTTCAATGACTGTTTCATTGTTAATAGGCAGTAACTCATTCAGATCATAAGATTGTGAACCTATTTGCCCCTGATGGCATTTACGGAGAGGCAGACGATCAAACTTGATATTCTAAAAATAGGCTCTTTATGAAAACTGGGAAGAAAATGACTCATTCTCCTTCACCTCTCTATTTCTTCAACATCTGGGGGGGAAACTAGCTATATGGGGAAAAACCAGACAGATTTAGGAAAATATTGGAACTACAGAAAATTTCGAGGACTAAACAAATGTGTGTTTGAATAGTAATGTGTATTTTCATCTTTGTGAACAGGGACAAGATAAGATAGCTTGTTAGCAGGCAAAGATCCAGGTCTACAAAACTCCTAAAGGTTTTTCTTGTAGTTTAGCCTTCACCACAATTATTTATGTAATTCTCTTCTCTCCCTATTCTGAAACAAGGAGATTTGATCATTTCGTTTAGAGCATTGGTTCATTTTCACCTTGTCTCAATTCATAAGGCACCCACTGGGCGTTCAAGTGAAGGTACATTCATTGGGTGAGTTTTCTTTAGGAAAATGTAAAAGGTGAACCTTCCTGTATCAGTATTTGATTCTTGGATGGGCATGTCAAGCATATGACTTGATGGGGAATAGAAGCCAGGTTCAACTTGCAAGAAAGGGGGGAAAAATAGCCACAGAATGCCCCCCTGAGTCCTGCTGAAAGGTTCTACATGATCCCTAAGGGAGCCAGGATGCTAGAATAATCCAGCAAAGTTCTTTTTCTGCTTTTACAGTTCATCTGACCATGGTCAAAAGACTGTTGCAAGTTTCAATGCTGCATATGGACACTAGTACCTGTTTTCAGGATGTTCCCCTTCCCAGTTTATATTGATAGAAAGGAAAGCAAAGTTCAAAATGGGTTAGGCTCCTCTAGTTCTGTTTACCTACATAAAAGAGTTTGCTTTCGTTTGTAAAAAGAGCAGTATCTCTGGTTGATTGGTTTGATTGATCCACACCATTTACCTTGCAACTTAAAATTGACAACTCCCCCCCGCCCCCGAATTATACATATCTCAAGTCTGTGGTCATAGAGGAATCTATCTATGTGGTTGCTAGGAGTTGAAAACAACTTGATGGCACATAATCAATCAATCAATCAATCAAGTCTATGGAATGTTGATGCAGTTACTTAGGGTTATCTTAAATCCATTAAAAGTTACTTTTTTTTGTTTTTAACACTTTAAACATAGCTGATACTTTAACAATTATCTAATTCCTCAACACTTTTTTTTTTAAAGAGGAATTAGATAATTCACTGTGACAATTTAAGAATCCTTGCAAGTTTTTATCCCTGCCTTCTTTGAAATTGACGATGTGCCAACAGATTTCAGGGCCTGTATATAGCTCCATACTGATTTCTATGCTCTCCACACACCACCATTGCGACGGTTCAGTTAAACATATATTCCTCTATTTCTTTAGTTAGAGACCGTCTTCATTTGATCATTTTTCTGTCAAAGTTCACTTCTGGTTTTTGTACAGATGCCTAGGGCAATTAAAAATATATACGGAAGCTGGAAATTGGAGAAACGTTAAGTTCAGATGTAGGAACTGAACGATTGTTCTTTATTACCTCCAATGCTATAAACAATGACTGAAAGATTTTTCTCCACCCAATTACTCTGACACAGTACATCAGTCTCCTGAGGAAATGCTACAGCTTTTCAGTTTCCATGCCCTTCCAATATCTAAGCATTGGGAAAACAAGGAACTCTGATTTTTTTGTCAAGAAAAAATGCTAGAAGAATGTTAAGTATGGAGATAGAGATGCCAAATAACTTTCAAGAGACAGACTGCAGCTGTTTCCACCTATTCTATTTCAATCTTATTATCTCTGACATAGGAATGTGGTTTCGAGCTTGGGGAAAGCATGGAGTACAGCAATTCCTGTCCCCCCCCCCTTTTTCCTAGAGTTTTAGCTTTTTAAAAAGTATTATTATTCAGGTCTGCTTTCAATTTTTATACTGAGATGTAACAACCACTAGTTATGAGAAAAATCAGCTCCTGGAACCATTGGTGCCCCTTCTGGCTGGACCCCAGGAAAGGTATTTATGCTCAGAATCATGGGATCCATTTTATCTAAACACATCCCAATATTCTCTTATGGTTGGCTGACCTTAACACTATGTTCAGAACATCTGCCATATAGCTTGGCAATATGCTTCATAGCTCTAGATCTGGGAGGAATTCCTAGACTTCCAAGACTTCAACACTTGTCATCACACCATCAGTCTACTGCTTACAACACATGCACTTCCTAAATATCACAACTGTGTGACACAAAGGACATTTGTAAAACATATCCTCTGGGAACCCACTGATCCTTCCATGGAGGACCCCAGTTATCATCATTAGGACACATTGTAAGTGTCATCATCTACCACCAATTTCAAATATAACCAAATATAACAGCATATCCATGGGATTTGACTAACACCTAGATAATTAGCTCTCTTCACTCCCAATAACTTAATGAGAACAGGGAGCAAACAAATTACAGGAGCCAGAACAACATTCATGAAACAAGGCATGCAAGAAACACCAAGACGGCCTGGCCTTGAAATGAGAAGAGCAGTAGGTGAAAGACCAGGACAGTCCACAGAGAACCACCCAGTTCAAAATTCCTACTACCAAGAATCAAATGCTTTCAAGACACCAACATCAGGTGTGAAAATTCTTTAACACACTAGTTACCTAAGAATATAGTTGAGCAAAGCAACATTGCTGACAGCATCCAACTCTCTTAAAACCATCTATTTGACATCTCGCCCATGATGCTTAACAGCAACAGGCAAGAACAATTAGTTGGCATAATGAATAAAAGGTTTAGTAAAGCTAAACTTAAGTAAGTCCAATGAATATTTTAACCAACTTGGCCATGCCATTAACAGCTACGAAAGTAGCTATTTTGAATCAAGGTGATTTTTGTGGATGGATGGGACAGGAGTGAGCAGAGCAATGGTGATACCAAGCAAAGGAAAGTAATTGCACAAAACCAGGCTGCCGAATGGACTATGTGTTGCCCTGAAAGTAATAAAAGGTTATCGCTTTAAGATGAAGAATCCATGGAAACAAGTTATTTTCATCCTCAGAAGACTGTCACGAGCTCCCGGCTGCTCTCTGAAAGCTAGCACTTTTAAAGAAGCCATTTGTTTTCATGACAAAAGGCCCAAGTCTTTGGTTTTTAAATAAACTCCCCGGATGACTAGAAATCGAGAACATGACCTGATCGCAGCGTTCCGATCCCCATTCTTTCCAAAACACAGTTGCTTTATATGAGCTCCGACAACTGGTTCCTCCCCTAACAGCCCTTATTCCACTGAACAGCGGCTGTCCCTCCAAAGACTCAGAGAGACAGGATTCCCAGCCCAACTCTCAGATATGCATTTAATTGGAAATCTGGGGAACTGAATCCCAGACCTCTTGCAAGCATCACATTCTGTCGCTGAGCCAAGCTGTTCTTGGAAAAAGATTTGCGGTGGCAATTTCATGCTGGAATTTAATACAATGCATTTTTAAGTACTTCACTCATCCCACCTTCCTCCCATAGTCTTCGGGTACAGATTACGACTTCTTGCTTCGATAAAAATAATTTTGTAGAAACCGTTCAACTGTGGAATCCTTAAAAAAAAATAGTGCCTTGTATTTTCCAAAGGATTGTACAAACTTTAGTGAAATCTTGTAAACCTGAGACATAGTACAACCCAAAATGTAAACCCTGAGAATATAATATGATGGTGGAAAAACACAGTGTGTCACTAGGTGATGTCTCCTTCAATGAGACATTACTGATATAAAATACCTGCTTTTAAAAAAAGATAACTTGGCTTCAAGAATGGATCTTGCTTCAGTTAAGTCCCATTGAGGTTAATGGACATTGTCCTCACTCCAGTTAGAGGTCTGCAGTGGCTTAGACCTATTTGTGGGGAGGGGGGTTGTTTCTAACACCACAGTAGAAACATATGGGTTAAATGGGAAGTTCTCCATTGAGATCTAAGAATAAAAAATGGAAAGAACTTGAATCCCATGCTGGTGGGAGTCATCTCGTTCAAATATTAAGGACCACTTGAGCAAGTAAGATTAGCAGGATCTCTCTTGAGGATTTTTCACACCTGTCATTGGTTTAGAATATCCTTAGAAATCTTCTGTAACAGCACATATGAGAGGATATGGTACTTGGGTATAAACAATTGTAAAATCTGATAGAAATTGGGATGTTTGTGTCCCTGAGGACACTTCCAGCCTCAAATCACTGAGAACATAGACACCCCCTGGGAATTTCTCCCTGTAGATACTCCTTTTGAAATGAATGAACACTTCACAAGGCCATGAAATCTCCTGGCAAACAATGATGTTACTTATGAGTTCAGAGAAGAAGGCAGATCCACCTGAGAAAGCAAGCTTTTTGAAAACAGTGAGACCCTACAAAACTAATTTAGCAATCAAATGGTTTTCCACCTCATAGCTAGACACATTTGCACTGAATATACCTAGCTATGCACACTGTTCACCAAAACACTCTCCCCCTGAACATTTAAAAAAATAACATTACAATCTTTGTGCAAAAAATAGCTCTGTGCATACTTTGTAAGACAGGGAGCTTGGCTTCCATTGTACAACTGCGCTTTGCACAACTGCCTTTTGTTTTTAAAACCACTCTCCAGGATCCTGAATGGCAAATTTTAAACAGCAAATGATACATTTGCAAGAGTTGTACCATCTTGCAGTTGAAGAACAGTGTGATGATAGTGGGGTTTTCTTTTCCTTTTGTTACAGAAACTTCTGAAATGAACACAAACTTTATATGGCTCATATAAACTGGGAAAGTCAAATGTTACTTCATTCCAATGTGATTTACCAGTTGAATAGTATGTTTTGGCCCAGTGTCATAAAGTAAATTTGGCTGCTGCCTCCGGACTGAACAGATGCAAAAAATACCTTGAGAAGAGAGGATAAAAAAAAAAAAGTGTCACTTTTTAAAAATATTGAGCACAACTTGAAAATGTTGCATATACCTCGGCATGCATAAACATGAAGCCCACTTTAATTCAAAGGGTTAGATAAAGTATTATGATTGAAAGCTGAATACAGCCAGGGATTCTTGGCCAGCCCTGGAGGTGCTGAACATTGAATCTTATGCATGAAGACATGCCTTTACCACTGCACTAGAGCAGAGTACCAACTCCGCTGTGTGCAGGAAGCATGTCCGTAACTTGTTTTAACCTAAATATTTGCAAATAAATCCAATTCTGAAATATTTGGCAGTGCTGAGACCTCTTCGTTTCACCTTGTTCAATATGTTAATAACAATCCGATAGTGTCCTTATCATTACGCTTACGGTTTTCCCTTTTTGGAAGGACATTTTCCAATCTGCCTGAAAACCCAAGATATGGTTCTTAGTTAATTGATACTGATTTTATTTGTTCTTCTTTCTTTCGGTAAGCTGAGAGCATTGAACGCAGACAAGAAATGCTGCAGGTTTTTAGGGATCTCTTCACCCAAAGAAAGTAAGACTCTGGTTAAAAGGCCACCAGAGCTGCATGTTCAGAAAAATGAAAGAGGGTACAATCTATTCCCAAAGATCTAGCAATATCTGTTGAGCGAGGAGCATTCTCCACCAAGTGCTCCCCCAGCTGGTGTCTTCAAGATAGCTTGGTCCCAGAATGCCCAACCTCACAAAAACTGTGAGCACTGAAGTTTGAGCACATTAGGAAACTGCCATGCTGGAGGGAAACCCTGTCATCTAACAAGGTTCTCACAAGGTTCTTCAACCAGAAGATGTCTTGCTTCTCCTCTAGAGCACAACTAAATACACTAGACTTCTCTTCTCAGGCAAGGGGTAGATGAATTCCCTACCACCCCTCCCAGCTTCTGCACATATACCTTATCATTCCTTTCGCAGAGAAATTTCAGCTTCTGAGCTTTCTTGTGCATGAACACGCCTTCCAGACATCCTGTTTCCACAGCACGCAGTTCAATTGCTTTCTCACCCCAACCCATAACTTGATTGGACTGAAGATAAGCTTTTAGAAAAAGAAACGAACAAATAGTTAATGGAGTTTTTTTAAAAAAAAAAACACATACACACAAAAACAAAGAGAAGGCAAGTGGCAGGGAAAGGGCTGGATAAATGTTCTGTTCACTGGAAACTGTTGGCAATAATAGATTTTTTTCTTCTTCTGGGATTTGCAGCCAAGGCTCCATCTGATAACAAAAAGAATTACAGTCTGTGCAACTCCAGCTTTGGCCTGGATAGGATTGTCTTACATTTGCCTGGAGCCACATTGTGGGGTACTTTTCAAATTCTACTTCCAAGCCCTCGGCAGGGAGAATGTAACTTAGATATATACTCAAATAGGTTGAATGCTAATGTTCTTAGTACAGAACAGAGAAGGATGTGTATATATGTGAATACAAGTCTCTTGTGGCAGAGAAGTAATAAGATTTCAGATCAAGTGAATTCCCATCACTCTTACCAAACAACGATTTCCAGGATTCGTTGAAGCTTCTGCAAAGATAGACATCTACTGCTCTTATCTGTCTATGAGTGTTTCCAGGGTGTTTCACACAAGATTATCCCTTTGAGCTAGATCACCTTTCCCTCCCCTTTAAAATCCATTTTTAAAGTAGAAGCTGAAATAGCCTTTTTGCATGTTTAAGAAAGACAGCGATAAACACAACAAGGGGACGTTGCTTGGAGAACACGGGGTCATACCACCAACAAGAGGGGCTCAAACTCTGGCCCTCCAAAACTGTAGGTATGGCCCCCAGAGCTCCTCCACAACATGTTGCCAAATTGTGACTGGAAGGGGGAAATGATTTCTATCTGATTACATTCTAATGTTATTAATTATTTCCATTTTTGTTTTCTTCCTGGCTCCACCTGCTGCTTTGGCCTGGCTCTGCCCACTTTTGGCAATGGGGTCCTTGACACCCCCTTGAAAGGCTAGAAAACAAAAGCACGACCCTTCATTTGAAAGTTGTCTAACTAATCACGTGGACCCTCCATAAAATGTTAGTGACCGAGTCACCCTGAGTCTTTAGCAAATGTCCACTGGCTAATACCCAAGGTTAAATGTGATTTTCCTTAGAGAAAATCCCACCTCCATTTCTAAGGAAATGGTACACCTACAGTAGGATAAGTCAGAGGGAGGGACCAAGATCCTTATGAGCTTGAGAATCTTTTTGTTTTCCTTTTCCCACCTCCCACCTTATTCTTTTATTATCACGTCCTTTTAAATCCAAAGCTCAAGGCTAAGGGCAGCGTGGTTTATATTAATCGGTAAACCGCACAGGGAGAACTTTTCAGCTGACGTAAGGACAGAAATGCTTTCATAAATAACTTGTTAGATAACATTTCCAGATGTTGACTGGCATCCAAAAATACTGAGTGTTTGTTCCCACTGAGGCAAGTCTGGACTTGCCCCATCTATTGTTCTATCGCTAGGCTGCATCTTCATTGCTGCATCTTCCTAATAGATGCTGGCATCTGTTGCTCGGGCCTTCTGCTCTGTGATGTAGCTGGCTGGGAGAAAATGAAGCCTATGGTGTGCTTCCCTGCCCAGCTGGTTTAGCCTAGAAAGAACAGTCTTTTCCTATGATTCTCCTCTAAGAGAGAAAGAAGCCCATTCAGCAACAAGCTTGGTTAAAATGTGTGTGTAAGCAAGCTTGCATGCTCCATACTGGAGATGCAGTGGGATTCTAGCTAATCCTGTCTCAGCCCAATTATGCGGTGGCTCATTTTCTTTGGCAAGAAAGAAAAATTACATCCTTTAAAGAAGTTGGTTTTATTGGTTTATTCTATTTGCATCTTTTCTTCCTGCAAAAGAGATCTCCAGGATCCAAGTCCCCGCTCTTCTGGCCTTTGAGAAGAAAGGTCCAAGGTCATCAAATGACCTTCAGGGCAGCATAAAGATTTAAACACCGGTCCATATATTCCAACAAAACAGCTCAGTCATACCTCACAGTAATTTTAAACCATGACTTGTTAACCAAGTCTTGATGGGTAGGGTCACATGCAACACTAGCTGAACCACAAATCCACCATATTATGGCTGAGCATAAGGGAAACAACATGTGTTGTTCTGAAGCAACTTCTCAGCATCCATTCTATGGCCCTCAGAAGACTTCCAAAATGTGCTGCCAAAATTCAGCAATGAAGCCAATTCTAAGAAGTCTGTGCAATGGAATCGGGGTGGGTGGGTGGGAGGTGGAAGGGTCCTACTGGTCAATCTGATGAAAGCAGCATCACCTGTTGAGATACAAGCCCCACCCCTTTTGTACATGCATTGTGACATCACCCAACCAACCAAGAGGGGCAGAGTTTGTGGCACAACTTGAAATTCCACCCCATTCCTAAGGCTAGAAACAAGACGCTCACACTGAGTTTTAATAAGATGAACTTCAATCTGGGAACAGAAACTACTGCAGAAGCAAAAAATAGGATGTTGTTACTGTTGTTGTACCTACTGTCTTTTCATAGGCATTTTCCAAGCAGGAAAATGGGTGCAACCACGCTCCTAATTCCATGGGTAATCTGAGTCTCTTGGGGAACCAGGAAAATATACCCCCCCCCCCTCAATCCCTGAAATTTCACAGAGGGCACACAAGTTAAGTGTGAAGCAAGCTCATGGTGTACCTTTATCCAAACCAATGGAAGCAAAAAAGACCTGTCTCCAATGATGTTCCTGCTGTCTTGTTTTCAAAGCATTGGCCTCTTGTCCAGCAAAACCCTACCTTTCGGTTCTACATCTCCTAAAGAGTCAACAGCTTAAATACTGTAGTTTCACCCCTTTAATTTCCCCCTGGAGTTAAGGTTCCTTGTTCCAATTACTAGACTGACTATACAGGTCTAGTCTGCCTTAAATTCTTAAAAGCTCCCTATGTTTAATTTCTTGCCCTATATTGATTCTTCACTCTCTCCACTGGTTAAACTATTGCAAATAATTTTATTTTATTGATAACATTAATTAAGGAGCAGCTGGTCATAATAAGCCAGAATTAGCCTCCCAAAACAGAGCAGCTTTTACCTTTCTGGATATCTATTCATAGTGGGGAAAGTGTTTCCTGAGAAAACAGGCCCCCTTTGAGCTGTAACAAATGTTTAGGGAAAAACAAAGAGGACGCTTTTAGAAAAAAAGCTGTCCTTTCATCCCCGGTCTTTCTCCTAAAAATGCCTTCTTTGTTTTTGCTCGACATTTATTACAGCTCACCCAGCCTGGGTTTGACTACAGAAATCCATCTCCCTTGCTTCCACCCTTGCTCTTCCTTTCAAATATCAGGCCTGGTTCTGAACCAGTTTGGAGGCAATCCTCTGCTTTAATACAAAAATCAGATGTTCTGCCTTTTAAGCAGCACGTAGTACCAAAGTAGAAAAAAATACAGCATTCCAGATGCCTTCCAATAGTATTACAGTGAGTGGTAATCAAACCTGCCTCCCCCAGTATATTTTTTAAACTTCCAAACAGGTTCAATACCCACAGCTGAGATTTTTCTCTTCTAAACCTCACAGCTAATAGTTCTTCTGTCTCTGAGAACTTCACGCCATGCTGCTAATGCTAGATTGTCAGAGGCAAGAACTTGGCATTATACGGACAGTGTTCAACACTAATGTGCCATGGAGGAGAATTGTCTTGACATGTGTTAATTATACTGGGTCATTGTGATTCTTACTTTTAAAAAATATCATTGGGAAGTTGAACTGTTATCACTATGGCTGCACCACAGAGGAAATAACACAAGGCATCGTGCCTTGCTCTACAAAGTAACAAGAGTAAATGTGGGTTCTCCACCACCATGCTTGGTAAGTGCCCAAAAGAGGTTTAGATGAGGAGTGGCAAACATTAGCACATTGGCAGTTAGTGACACTTTCACGCATAGATGCAGAACCTGTTTCAGTGCGTCTTCAACTCCCAGTCCGTTTATACGTACCTACTGATGTGGGCATTTCTCCCCATTGCAAAATGTTTTCTTTTGAGAAGTGCCCATAAATGTCAAGGTAGACTCCTTCATCTTCATAAGCCAGCAGAAGTTCCATCCCACTGGTATTGCGGAGAATGATAATAGCATGCGGATGAATATTTCCCTGGATCTGGAATAATATTTTATGAAGATTTACATCACGGAACAAGTTACAACTTTAGTAACTACAGTCCATCAATTTAGGTGTCATGACAGAGCATTAAAAATCAACCAGCTTGGAGATCTGAGAAGTGAAAAAGATTTATCTCTTTGAAAATGTCTATGTACTTTCTTCCATGTTCGGAGCTTATACAAATGAAAGAAATGTCTTTCTTTTTTAATATCAAGTCTTAGCTGCTACCTGGAAAAAGGTGTTTCTTTTTTCCCTCTTTAAATATCAAAGAGTGCCTAGAAGTTCCTGTTCAGTATTTCCCACTGAATTCTGTAAGTATCATGTTGTGAAAATAAATAAACCACAGAGTAATTTGGATGCTATAGGACTTGCAATAGCATTATAAAAATGATTGTAAAGGGCACTTTAGCATAGAAATTATCCTTTTAAAAATTCTAATGAACAACATTGCAGAATTATAGAAAACAGTCTAAAAATAAACGACAATAAAGCAATAGATTATATAAAAACACACAGGCAGACCAAGATTATCCTAAAGATAAGCTTTTTGTTTCTCAGTTCTGTTCTCAGTCATTTCCTAACACGGCATACAGAACTTATTAGTTTAGGTGGGGCAGGGATTTTGTTTTAAAGCTTTGCATTAATTCACCAGAAATCTAATCAAACTTCTGTTCTTTCTGAAAATGGGAAAAAATAGAATCATGAAACTCATCTAAGGAGGCCTTAGAAAGGGGACCCCCTGGACTGCAATGCTGAAGAAGAATTTTGTATGCATTTTATTTATCAATGTATGAGGGGAATGATGTAGGCAAGAAATTTTAATGCATTGCATGTTTTTGAAACATGCTATACACCTTCTGGTTCAACAAATTTGCAAAATAAAACAGGAAGCAATTTTCATTACAAGACTATTTTGTTTTACTAGTTCAGATATAATTTTTATAGACCAAGACCCACCATGACAGAAGGAGAGAGGCCACTGTTCATTTTATTTCATGCATCTTTTGATTCCACCCTTATTCTTACTTTTTGCCTCCTCAGGGTGTGTGTGTGGAATTGCCTGTTTTTCTACCTTTTGCCTCAACAAACACTGATGACTAAAGACTGCACAGCATAAAGTTCGGTGAAACACAAGAATAAAGTTGTGTCTCAGTCTGGGGTTTCTTAGAAGTTTGATAAACTTAGGAAAGGGGAGGGAGAATGCTGCCTGAGGGAGAGACTATTATCCAAAGAAAGGACATTCATAGTTGCCCCTTGGCTGCCTCATCCCTAGGAGGACAGAAGAGCGTCACCCATGAGAAGTCCACCAAAGGGATCTTCTCCTTTGAAAGAGGTTGCAAAACTCAATCCGCTGTCATCAAAGGGAATGAACACTGATTAAAAACAAATTGCAGATTAGCTTTCTGCATGACATTATATGAGATGGTCAACCCGGATGCTAAGGGGAGTCTACGGATGGATTTCCCCTAATCTCTCTTTTTATCTTTAAAATCAACATTTGGGGACAGGAAGGCATTCAAGATTGGCGTTAACCCCGCTCCCCACGGGTTCCTTTAAAGACAATCTCACCAGATGGAACATTCCTTGTGGGGACATGGTCCCATACCTTCTCCTTTCACCTAAGCAAATAGCCCCTTCAAGAAGGGCTGGAATTTAAATCAGGTTAATGTTAATTCCTTTCCCCTAGCATCACATCACCCTCCAATCTGCTTTGATCCAGAGAAAAACCCTGTTTAGTATACTGTAAGTCCCAGTGGTTCTCTGGTTGAATTCCAGCCATTTTCCAGCCTTACTTCTCTTTCTCTAAATAAATACACACATTCCTTGAAGGTCATCTAGAGGCTTATACATAAGACACCTTAAAACCCACAGATAAAACACATACAGGAGAAACAAGTAGTGCTAAAAAACAAAAACAAACCCTCTTTGGCACATACTCCATTCACATGCAGAGGAACCTTACAGTTCATGCTATAAAATTTTCAAAGAGCTTTAAGCAATTTAGAATATATAATTTCTCAAATCCTAACATACAGAGAGAGAGAGAGAGAGAGAGAGAGAGAGAGAAAGGATTTATAGCAGCATCCATAAAGCGAGGGCTTTGTTATTATAAAAAAATCAGGAGGTAAAACTAATTCTGTAGACCATCCCACTCCTACAATACAGGAGACAGAAGATCCTCAGAACCAAATTAAGTTAGGCGGGATGGCTACCACCAGCATTTTCACAGAGTGAATGAATGTCAGAACTGCAAAGGGCCTGGGCCTGTGTTCTTCCTCCCGAACTTGGGGGCAGAAAGGCCTGAATGCAGTTCTGTGCCAAGGAAACCTTACAAACAAGGAAAACCACAAGAAACTTTACTTGCCAGATGTATAGGACTCAGCCCACGCATGTAGTCTGGGGTCTCAGCTGCAACTATCCGCAACACCAGAATGGGGATCCAGAGCCAGAAAGCTATTTTAATGTGCTGCCTTGGGTAGACTGGCATGGGCAATCAAAGCAGAGGGCCAGAAAGCAAGAAGGCAAATCAGAGAAAGAAAGATGTCTGTCTTCAGTCCGTTGGCTTTAAAAGATGCTGGCTCTGAACTGGGACGAGGGGACTTTCAGAAGAGAATTATTCACATCCCAAATCCTGATAGCTGCAGCTCAGAAGGAGAGACTCATACTTCAATTTCTGCACTCTTGTGGGAAAGTGTATTTTTAGGGTATTCCATCTTACGGTGACAAGTGAGCCGAAATAGGAGTCACAAGTCTCCTGTGGGAGACCCCATATTGAGGGCATTTGACTGGGAAATATTGCTCCTCGTGCAGATAATTAAATTGGGAGTTTGCCACTGAACCAAATCTTTTCTTTAAAAAAATTATCCTTTTCCCTTGGAGGCTTACTTTTTATTCAGGATGTCAGATGACCTCCTTTCTTCTTCATATCCTGTCCTAAAAACCAGCTTATTTTGCATGTGCTCAGGGGAAGTGTCCAAAATGAATCTGGAACTAGGTAGTACTTGTGATTGATTTTTTTTTTTAAATCAATGGCTAAGATTCTTTATCTAATGACCATGCTAGAAAATGCCAGGAAACTGAACAGGAGAAAATGCAAACAGAGAAAGCTACAGGAAAAAGAGGAGGCAAGATAAATTTGACTTCTACCCACTCACAGCTTCTCCTCAGCCCAGCACCATGGCAGAAAAGCAACAGCAAGCAGGATTTTAAAAGATGAGATGGCCTCACAAACTTCCTCTGAACTTCTACAGATGGTTGCATCAGCTATGATGATTTGACTTCATATTTCTCCTCTCTCAGAGGTGCAACAGAGGGGAAAAAAGAGTAGAGGCATTTTCAGTGCTTCACTAAGCTAATCATCACCATAATTTTTATGACCTGATGAGAAGGTTGTTAGTGTGAATCATTTGCTAAAACCAAACGGATCCACAGAAGTCAGGGGAAATATTCAAAAATCAACCTCTCCCAACTGGGCACCCTCAAATGTGTTGATCTGAAGTCCCAGCAAAGGCCATGATGACCAGGAAATTCTCAGAATTGAACCCCACACATCTGGAGGATGCCTGAGCTGGGAAAATTGTCCTACATAATGACAACATCATCAATAAAGATGGATAGTTACAGATGTAGTGCTACACTACCGTCTAGCAGAGTCTATATCTAACCTGCATGGGCTGAAAGATTCACGCAGATGTCATGATCCTTTAAAATGACTCAACGAGAGATACTTACATGTGTCGGCAAATATAGGTCATACACTGAGCCAGAGTCCACATCAATAGCATGAAATCCAACTGCTGACCCATAGATAACTTTCAGCCTCTGTCCATTCTCCACAGTCAAATCAACCAAGAGTGGTTTTTGAGGAAGAGAGGTGAAAGACTGCAGAGAGAGAGAGAGAGAGATCAACACATGTTGCTTTATTATTGGGGTACTGATGACATGCAGCGATGAACCTGGGTATGAGCAGGTCACGTGACCATGAGCATCCATGGGGGACCCAAATGTGCAATATGGTGGGCATGGCATTGTACGTGTGGTACTGATGCCCATACAAAAGGGGCGGGGCATGGATGGTGACACCGCACTCGCCATCTTGCTGATCTTGACATCAGTACATGTGACTCAAACTACCTGTCTATGCATGCTCCAACTTTCTTGCCAAGTAACTAGAAAAAAGGGAAGCACAGACAGAAAAAATAGAGACAGAGTTGATACAGATAGAAAGGCAGATACAGGTTGAAAAGAAAATCAGTCAAGAGTTTGGGTAAATCTACGGTACAGACTTACAACAGATTTATGCCACTTTCCCTATCACAACTGCCCCCCTCATCTGCAAATCTGCAAATCCCGTGAAGTGCAATTTGATGGCTCTTGAAAATCCTTTCTGTAAGTTCCTTAGCCTCCATCACAAGTCAAGTGTTCACAAGGATCCTCAAAAATAAGACACTAATTAAATTGGCCTAAGTTCTACCATTTACCTTAAAAGCCATAAATTTATGATACGGTTTGGGAGCCCAGGCATAGACTTCAACTGAATTCTTCACCGCAATCACAAGAAACTTGATCCTCTCGTATTTCACTAGAAAGCAATCATTTCTTTTTTAATTGGCTAGGCATAAAGATTGGGAGAACATTCTAAATCACTGTTTAAACAGCAAGAGCACGCAGTTCAATGTAACAGGATTTTGATCTACTGTGAATGTGATGGGATTTGATCTACGACACCCTAGATAGCTGAGGGTTATGCAAAGACCTTGGCCTGTTTACATGATTACTTATCCGAGGATTCCAACCCCTAGATCTACTACAAGTCCTGATTTATATGTTCATTCAGAAATAATTCAAAGCTGAAATGAGCTGAAAGTAATCAAGCCCTAGCAGAGTCATTATGTAATGACTTATGTTAAAAACAGAACATCAACGATAATATAAATCTTGGTAAGATATTATCTCAATAGCGTGAGTCTCATTCTACAGATTGTGTGCAAATAACCTGTCTCAGCATACTGTATATAGATGCAAGATATATGCTGGAATCCTGCTTTGTACAAACAAGGGTTGTATTAACCTCCAAATTGAGATTGTGCCAATAAATGCAAAGAGACTGGTTTCTGTCATATATTTCTATGACAATTGCTTCTGTGAATTTCTTCCGCATCTCACATGCACATAATAGTCCAATACATCTATGGGACATCCGGCTGGCCAGCAATGTTCAACACACACTTCAAGAATCTGTTCCACAAGCCTCTTCCAACTGGATGCCCACCAGATGTGTTGGATTTCAATCCCCATAATCTCCAGTGGTGCTCTCTGAAGATGATGGGAGTTGGTCCAACACATCTTGAGGTCATGAAAGCTGGGAAGATTGAGAAAGGCTGAGTTGTGGAACATTGGGTAGCTTTGGGGAGATGAAGCTAATTTGATGATCAACTCCCAGAACTTCCAAGAGCCCTATGGTGAATTATATTATTTGGATAATGACGGGAAGGGGACAGGAAAGATGTTTCTCTTCTTGTTGTTACTATACTTGCTCATAAATTAAGGGAGAAATAAAGAGATGGGGGAGTATGTTTAAGTCCTGAGAGATGGAAGGATCTTGGCGGAGTTGTGTGCCTGGCAGAAGATTTTCTCTGGGATTACAATTTTGAATTTTTGAGAAAGGAGGTTCAAAGCTTAGAAGTTTCATCTAGCCTGATATTTGGGTGCTGGGCTGGAATCCAAAATAGGCTTGAAAGAATGACCCTCATTTTGCCTGACCCACATTTTCCCTGTGTTCAATTGCCCCTCAGTGCCCTTGCAGGAAAGGGAAGACCCTCACCAACTTTGTAGTGTATGCAGCCTTCTAGGTCGCCCACTGACACCCAGCCTTGTCGTCTCTCCACATCAGGATCGTTCCGCAAGATCTTGTTTCGTAGCCAAGACAAATAATATACCCGTAGCTTATTTTTTTTGCCTGCATGGGTTGGAACAAAAGCAAAAAAAAGGAGCATATCAAAATTTACTTCTGCAATTGACTGCATCACTGTCATGGTAGGGCTAAGCTGGGTCACATCTCTGGTCCAGCAGGAAGATCCAAAGAGTTATGATGAGGAGTATCATGGTCAGGTGCCTTATTCTGAACCAGTGTTGTCTACTCGAAGTAGCAAATCCTCTCTGGAGATTCAGAGAGGTATCTTTTCAAGATTGCCTTACCTAAGAACATTTTAAATGAGGGCACCGGAGACGAAATCTAGGATCTTTTGCAAAACATATGCCCTGCCCTGAACTTTGGTCCTTGGATCAGCACAATTCATGCATTTTTATAGCAACCGTGCTCTTCTATGGTGAACATCTGTAAGCTTGGTTAGGTTTATGGATCAACAACATTCAATCGAGCTTTTTTAAGATGAGCCAAATTTTAAAAGAAGGGTCTTCTTAGTGCCACTGACAGTAATTGCTCTGGCTCACCTCCCATGTGAAACTGATCATTTGTGTCCCTAAATAAATGCGTTCATCTGCATCACAGCAGCGTCTTCATTCAGCACCATAAAGCAACCTTCCTATTCTTAATAAGACATCATACATCATTTCTTCCTTCATATCCAAGCCCTTTGATCCATCTGATTTTGGTGAATTCACCTGGCTTTAAAAATCAGTTTTCTTTTTTTAAGAAGTTGAGGGATTACTTTCATGTTTTCAGTGATACGCAGCAACAACAAACCGGGCCATTTCTGCAACTATGTAAGTGAGGTAATTTCATATGGCAGAATACAGAATGGGTTAATAATTGCTTTTCTATGCTTGGGGATGAAGAGTTCTGTGCATCCTGAACATCTGCAGGGTCTGATCTTACAAAAAGTTTGTTTTAGTCAAAATCATCACGATTTAGAATTGCCAGCCCTTTGAGGAAGGCCAGGTCAGGAAACAGACTCTGCAAGTCTGGCTGGAATATAACCTATATCAATATATAGGTTATAGCAGGGTTCCTCAACCTTGGCAACTTTAAGACGAGTGCACTTCAACTCCCAGAATTCCCCAGCCAGCAACTGGCTGGGGAATTCTGGGAGTTGAAGTCCATTCGTCTTAAAGTTGCCAAGGTTGAGGAACCCTGGGTTATAGTAACAGGATCTTGAAAGCCTGAGTTTTATCTTCCCTCCCTCCCTCTTATACTCCAGGGAATTAGGGAGGAGTAAGACTTAGCTTCTTACTCACACTTCCTCTTTCCTGGCTTAAAGCACATCTTTGCAATTGTCCACTCTGTCTGGTTCTTCCAAGGTCATCTCCTTGGCTCTCTAGCAGGGATCCAGCTACGTGTCAATCCTACCCACTCTCATGTTCCTCCCCCCCCCAAAAAAACTATTGTCCTTTACAGATTTCAGTCCATAATTTCAGAACAGTGGTAGCACATCTATACAAGCCTAACCTTGACTCCAAGAACAGTTTAATAGCATTTTCCTGCAGTTATCTGTTTTCAGAGCAGGGATGCAATTCTCACTAAAGAAAGAAACCTTGATCAACTGTGTCTGTCTGTCTGTCTGTCTGTCTGTCTGTCTGTCTGTCTGTCTGTCTATCTATCTATCTATCTATCAAATTTATACACTGCCCATCTCACTATCTGTGACTTTAGGTGGCTCACATAAAGAAGCACAAAAACATTTTATTTAACGTCAGAAGCCAGTTTTAAGGGTCTGGGACACTCAAGCGATGTTGCAAACCTCATTTTAAGGAAGCCACCAAATATCCAGTGTTAGGAGGCAATTATATGAGGTTTGGCAAAAGCTGATGAGATTTTATAATCCAGTTTATGGTCCAATCCTCCCCCTCTCTCTTTTCTTGGTATCGTATATTAGGTCAGAAGTTTTTAGAGAACAAACAAACCTGAGATGGTAATTAGCACGTTCAGCCCTTCCAGCACATCCATCTGTTGAAAGCGTCTCCTGCTTATCAAGGAGTAAACTCGACCTTGTCCGCTGCGGTCTAGAAGCCACAATCCATTTTCAGACCCCACCAGTAAATTCACCCCTGTTGACATGCAAGAACACAGCATGGGCTACGAGTGATCTTTGACATGGCTGGGTCTGCTCACTGTAGGAAGTCCTCATTTGTTTTAACCTTGGTTTAGTAAAAGAAAATAGCCCTGAAAATCCAAGAGTGTGCCTGCCAGCAAATGTCTGGACCAAAGAAAATGCTGATGGGTTGCAGATCCAAACGGAGAGAGGAAGGAGATGAGGTTTCCATTAGGTTGGGCCGTGGTTGATATGGTTGATAAGGAGCGTTGTGATGGAAAGAGTGAAAAAAAGAAGAAGGAACTGTGCAGCATGGAATTGGGGTGGGGAGGAAAAGGAAGCCACTAGCAAGAGGCTGATAAGAAGATAGCATTCTCCACCTCAGCACACATATCATTACCAGCTTTGCTATGCTATTCTGTTCTTAATTTAAAATCTTGGCCTCTTCCAAACATACATCAAACGAAACCCAGAGAGCTGTAAACTGTAAATTTACATTTCCTGGGATAATTTCTTCCTTGCATTTCACTCATTTATTTTGTTTCTCATTTAAGACTTAAGTCAAAGCAGAAGGGCATGGGCAAAATATTGTACCAGCTCTGCGAAGCCTATCGCTGAGTTACTTGATGTCGGAAAGATGGTAAATTAAAGCTGGTGGAGAACTACAAGATCAATACCAAGAATGGATCCTTAAACAACAGAGAGTATAGTCCCGCATTTGGTATATTGAACTTTGAGATAGGAAACCAGTGTGGCCATCAGCTGATGCCTACAGTACATTCCAAATTTGAGGGAAGTAGATGTATCCAGATGGGCACTGAGAGAAGACCTCGAAAGAAGCCACAGCTCCAGATCTCCTTCACTACTCTCAATTTCTCCACCAGAAACATGGTGATAGGCCCAGGTTCTTGCTTACAAGGGATGCGCAAGACCTTTCATTTCTTAGTTTTACATGAGAAAAAGAAGCAAGAACTGTGTACAGCAGCACCTTCCTGATGTTCAAGGAAGATATAAGCCAGTAGGGACATTATCTTCCTAGTGCAATGTCTTCTCTCTAACTTTTAGTATTCAAGAATGGTTCCTTGACTGAACATCCATCTCTCCTGTTACCCTAGCATTCAATGACTGGGTCTAGATATTATACTAAGCCATGGCTTAACCACAGTTTGCTGAGTAGAGCATAATGCCTAAGTTCATACATAATACTGTTCCTTAAACCATGGATAATGCAATGTACTAAGGCAAAACCAAACCAGTCTGAGCAGGAATGAGGCAATGTGTGGCGTATTTAAGCTCTAAATTCCAAAGTGTGTGTCCTCCATCAGCTGAAAGGGCAATGTTATGACCCTGTTCGCTAGAATCTGTCTCTGCTTCAGACCAGGTTACTTACCCCACAATGCAGAACACAAGATCTCTGAATTAAACTTCTTTTTATATTTGCGGATTTCAGGGCTGTCGCTCTGCGGCCGGATATTTGTAGGATTCACATTGACAACAGAACCTTTTCTTGCATTTTGCCGGCTGGTGGGCTCCATTTTCACATTGGATGCTGGGAGGAAAAGCAGAAGAGAGTTGTGAAAATAGCTGTTTGGCCTGAATCGCAGCACATAAAGTTCCATGACATCTATATTCTCTTTTCTAATAACAGTGGCATTGATTATGATGGTGATTATGACTATGAGAGATTTGTGGAGCGGCAGGGAGAAGAATGGAAGAGAGAGTAGACATAAACTATCAAGAGACAGAACATGACTCTGTCAGCAGCTCTCTCATAAATGACAACTGAGTTCAGGTGGCAAGAAACCCAGGAAGAAGCCTTTCAAATAATTCAGAGACACTCTACCTTAAATAATTCCCTATAAATGAAGCTTGGAAATTCTTATTACAGTTTCCAAGTTCTGCATTTACCCCAGACTAGCTCTAGCCTTACTGAAATGTGGACAGTTCTTGCTTCCTTGGTCTTGCCCACCTACCTGGAGCTTGACAATGATGATGATAAGAGTCTTTCCAACCAACACTGAAGATTCTGGGGAGTGGTCTTGAAATTCTTTGTGTACAAAGCATATATTAATAGGAGAGAATATCTGTAACTCAGGGTTGAACTGTGGAGTCCTTAGGGTTCTCTGAGCTTATTTGTTTTCTTGCAGACGTTTCATTACCTGACTAGGTAGCATCTTCAAGTGCTAGATGTTCCCTAGTTGGGTAATGAAACGTCTGCAAAAAAACCACCAAGCTCAGAGAACCCCAGGGACTCCAAAGCATATATTCTACCACTGAGCATTGGCCCCATCCTGGATGCCAGAAATTATAGTTCAACCCACTTGGTAAAAGAAGCAAGCATGACATTGTCTATACTCACGGGAACCAGAGTTTGGTCCAGTTGGACTGGAAGGAGGTGAGATTTGGAGAAGCCTAGGATCAATGAATGATGTAAAAGATGATGTAGAGGAGGAACTATTTTTGGAAGGAGTACTGTCAGTGTTCTGTGCCTATCATAAAAATAAGAATGAAAAAAGAAATTAAGAAATATTCCTGCAACTGTTTGCAGCAATGGTACCAGAGCCACAACAGGTGGACTGGATATTACGAAGGTAGTACTCAACCTTGTGAGATCTTGCATTTGACTCCTTGGGGTGCAGCCTTGAAATGTAACTGCTGTTTTCGCTGCTACAATAGAGATCAGCAATTGGAGTCAATCCAGCTAAAGCCACTCAAAATCCAACAGGGTAAGAGGCATGACAGTGAGCAAAGGATTGAGTCATACTCTACTTAGGAGCATGATAGAAGAGATTTGCTCCACCACTATCTTATCTTTAGATGAGAAAAGTGAATGTGGATAATGGATCTAGAATATGGGAAGGAGCCGGAAGTAGATCTGATAAACCCCTGGGAAATTAGCAAGGGGTTACAATAGCAAAAGCAAAAGAGCTCCTTCAGCCCCCCGCAGATGGAATTTCTCATCAATAGTAACCCAGATGCGTTACTTCTCAGGGCACAGCTTTAGTCCTAACTTGCCTTGCATTTGCGCAGAGCCTACCAACTATTAGACAATTTGCCACTCATTTCCCTACCATTTCTCCCCCATGCATTTAGGATGTTCTAGTCACCAGGGGTTCATAATCCCCTATTTTAAAAATCCAGACTTTTAAGTTTAATATTTTTTATTGGTTTAGGAGCCTTGACCTTGTTAGCAGTGGGGTTGTTTTGAAGTTCCTGACCAGCAGTTTTCAGCTGGTTTGCTGAACAGTCGGAAATCTGACTCTGTTGTAGGAGGTCAGGAAGTAGGTAATTTTGGTTATTCATGTTCCAGAGTCCTTCACGAGTGCCACAGCCACGTTTTCCTGCAGCATAATCCTGCACCAAAGAACAAATTGAACACCTAGCTTGCAACCAGAGTTAGGGATGTATTATATGCCCCTCCATCCCCCTCCCCTTTCTTCCTGTTTGTGGCAGCACTTAAGGAAACCAATTCTGGCAACTTTTCCAAATCTTTATCCTATATCAAAGCTAATGAAGATCAGATGATGGCAGAAATGTCAACACTTTGTGGATCGGGGGAATGGAATAAAATAATATGGTGATAAAAATGGGATGCTGATGTACAACACATGCTTCAGAAGGCCCTGGCCATGGTCTGTGGGCATCCTGTGATGTTTATCTTCAAAGTTGTCCACCAGCATTATCTATCCTCTCAGTTGCCTGAGATCAAGAGGCAAAGAAACCCTAGCATGTCACGAAAACAGCATTAAAATGGGAAGGCTTCTGTGTCTTATCAACAGCATCACTTTGCTTGTTCACATCTGTAACAGAAAATCCTCAGTCATTTCTTCCAGGTGTGAGAATGGTGGCTGAGTGAAGCAGGACTTTTCCAGAATGACCTTAAAGTCTGGAGTGAGCTGGAAGGAACAGAACTCTTCCTTGCCAAATTCTGAGAAAGCAGCAAGAGGTATGGCCACTTATTTTTCACAAAATCCTTGGCCATTGAAATCAAGAAAGCCAATCGTGGGCTTCTCTTGCTATTGAAATGGACCTTCTTCCAACTGTATTTGTGAGTTGCCATGAATGACAGAAGAAGTGGATGTGGGATATCTTTTATTTCTTTCTACCGGAATGCGTAAAGAGTAATTTCACTGCACACACACCAGATTGCCTTTTATTAGAATGTGCTGTTTCATACTGAACTAGGCCTGCAAACTTAAGCCACCAGCAGCTTGGCTACAGGCCCGGTTCTGGTTCTGATAACCTTTGAATCCTTTCAGCTTTACGATCCCATGAGAGCTCTGGATTTGAAGGTCTGGCAATTCTGGAAACGTCATGCCTCCTATGTACAGCCACTGCAGATAATGCTAGGCTTCCTCTTCCCCTCCAAGCTCCGTTGAAGCCGGAACCCAGAGAGATGGTTTATTGCTGGCACAGAAGACCGAAACTGTCTGCCATGCAGTTTGCTATAAGAGATAAACAACTGGCTGGAACGAAGCATTTGCAGATGCCAGCAGGTACGCTGGCAGACAGCACCGTGAATCCAGAGGTGAAACAAAGCTTTAGAAGCCAAATCACTAACTGGGAAAAAATGGAAACACGGAGGAGACTGGGAAGTATTTACCTCCCACAACACTTCCATTTAAAGCACAAAACACCAATCATAATTCCTGCTTGGGGGCTCCACCAAGGTATGGGATGAGGGAAAGGAAGCAAAGAGGAAAAGGGAAGAATTCATACAGTGCAGGAAAGCTACAGTACTGTATAGTAACAGTTATCCATGGTAGAAACAAAATTGGGATAAGAATCATGTGGAGTCCTTGGGGTTCTCTGAGCTTGGCTGTTTTCTTGCAAACTTTTCGTTACCTGGCTAGGTAACATCTTCAGTGCTAGAATGAATTTCATTCTAGCACTGAAGATGTTAC